TAGATGTGTATAAGAGACGGGCATTGATGTGAGAGAGAAACATTGATCAGTGGCCTCCTGTAGATGCCCCAAGTGGGGATTGAATCCACAGCCTTTTGGTGTATGGCAGGACCCTCCAACCAACTGAGCCACCTGGCCAGGGCTCAAAAAGGACCTTTTAATGATCAAATCCAATGGTTAGTTCTTGTGGTCATATACTGCCTACTTCATATATGTTTTAGGAGGTTTAAATGAGGTATGAAACTCAACACTGTATCAGTGTTAACTTCTACCTGATTACACTGTAGCATCTGATAATGTTGGGCACCTTTATTTTCTGCAAACTTTCTATATTCTTGACTTCTGCCCTTTTACCCCTCTGGCACTTACTTCCTTTATCCTTCAGTGGTCACACACCTCCTCACAGCTTAAATGTGGGCTTATTCCAAGGCTTTGGAGAGTGCAGGTATTCCCATGGCTTCTCAAATCTGTCTCCAACCTTGACCGTTCTCCTGAACACCATATTTCTAGCTGCGTACTAGTATTTGTAATTGAATGTCATTACCAATGTGCTAAAATGAGCATTTATTGCTTTTTTAAACCTCAATATTCTAAAATTAAACCATACTAGCAATGTTAAATCCTTTTTTAGGATGATAAGGATAAGTTTGTTTTTCATGTTAAGTTTAAGAAATAGAATAGTAAAAGACTCCTTAAATAACAACTGTACATGCTAACCAAACTAATGTACAGTTGGAGTGGAAAGAGCAAGCAGACACACATCAGCTTTCCCATCACAGTAAAGACATGGATTTGTCTCAAAAGCCAAAGCAGGGTATTGACACAATTCTAGTAAAGACATTATTATCACAGTAAGAGCATTGTCTACAGACTTTCTGAAAGAACTTCAAAATCCACCAGTGGTTCCTGTACCATCCTTAAGAACTACTGAATAAAGTCAACATGAACTAAGATGTTCTGTTCTTATTAAACCTTCAGTATTGTCCTCAATACAATTAAAAACACCTAATTCTACTCCTGACCAAGCGACAGGAACCCTTGAAGGTATGGTGAGACATCAACCCTGGAAGTGATTGCTAGTGATTTAACTGCCAATAATCTCATCCAGCATTCCCAGGATTTATAACTTCCCCTTGCCACCCAGAAGGCACTAATGTTAGCCTTCGCCCAGCCAGGCATGGCTCAGCAGTTGAGCATCGACCTAGAAACCAGGAGATCGAGGATCGATTCCTGGTCAGGGCACATGCCCAGGCTGCAGGCTCGATCCCCAGTCAGGGGAGTGCAGGAGGCAGCTGATCAATGACTCTCTCATCATTGATGTTTCTATCTCTTTCTCCCTCTCCCATCCTTTCTCTGAAATCAATAAAGATATATATATTTTTTTAATGTGAACCTTCATGGACATGGACAACAGTGTGGTTTTGCAGTGGGGACGGTGGGTGGGTGGAGGTGGAAGATGGCATAGAAAGGATAAATGGTGATGGAAAAAATAAAATAATGTGCCCAGGCGGCACGCTCAGCAGTTGAGCATCGACCTATGATCCAGGAGGTCTCAGTTCAATCCCAGTCAGGGCACATGCCTGGGTTTCAGGCTCCATCCCCAGCAGGGGGCTTGCAGGAGGAAGCCAATCAATGGCTCTCTCTCATCACTGATGTTTCTCTCTCTCTCTCTCCCTTTCTCTCTCTGAAATCAACAAAGACCTATTTAAAAAATAAAATAAAATAATGTGAATCTTAAGTGCAGTTACTCTAAAAGACATGTAGATATCAGTCCTATATATGTTTCACTCACTGATTCAAAAAGAAAAACATTTTATTTTGAGCAAAGCAGGAAATGGATTGCTGACTGGCTGAGAAAAGATAAATTAATATTTAAGCAAGGGAATAAATAAATAAATATATAAATAACTCACCTCTAATGCTCTTTATTATATAACTTACAGATCAAACAATGCATCCCTAATATCTCTTATTGCTTATTTTTTAACGTATGTACTGTATGATTTATATATAGAACCAAATACATCACATTTTTCAGGGTTATATACTACATTGATAATTGGGCTATTTAGTATAATCAAAATCCTTATAAACTCCATTAACACCTTACTTTTTTTTTAATGTCTTCTTTTCTCTTTGATATCTTTTTCATGATGATGGTTCTTTCATTTCCACTTTCTGTATAAATAATAAATAATCTTAAGAAAGATATATTATGGTGAAGGCCTGGGGCAGGGGGTGGGTACAGGGTAGGAGGGGTCAATGGGGAAAAAAGGGGACATCTGTAATAGTTTCAACAATAAAGATAAATTTTAAAAAAGAATGATCTATCATATTACTGAAAGAAAGTAACTATTATGATACTTGAGATAAAAGTATGTTATTTAAATTTTTTAATTTAACTGAAAATTAAGGAAAGAAATATGCTCTCACCTTTGGTATACAGTAGTTGATCACCCTAAGTATTTAATAGAAATTCTGTTTAATGCAATAAGACATGTAAAAGGAGCGGTATAACTATTGGAAAGGAGAAGACAAAATTATCCTCGTCTGTAGAAAATAGGTTTTAATATATAGAAAACCCAAGACACTCATTGAAAAAAGCTTAGACATAATTAGAAAGTTGTTAAGTGGCAGAATAAAAGAAAGTATGTCAAAGTTAATAGCTTTCCTATATGCTAACAGAAAAAGATCACTTCATAATAGCAATATAAAACATATTTCAAAATAACTAGGAATAACTTCAATTAAAATATGTGGGAACCTACTCAAGATCTAATTAAAACATATTCCCAGGAGGCAGGGAGATTGGTTAAGAAGCTATTATGAGTCCTGATGAGAGATGCTAGAGATCTGAATCAAAAAATGGAAATTGGAATGAAAAGTGGAGAAAGATTTGTTTATTACTAGAATTAGTGGGGTGATCACATTGTAAGATATAAAAATGTCACTCTGGATGGGTGGCTCAGCTGGTTGGAGCACTGTTCCACACACCGAAAGGTTGCGAGTTTGATTTCCGGTCAAGGCACATACCTGGTTGCAGGTTTGATCCCTGTTCCGGGAATGTACGGGAGGCAACTGATTGATGTTTCTCTCTCACACTGATGTTTCTCTCTCTCTCTCTCTCTCTCCCTTTCTCTCTCTAAAAATAAAAAATATATATCCTGGGGTGAGGATTTAAAAAAATCTTTTTTGAAAGATATAAAAATGTCAAATCACTATAGTGTACACCTGAAACTAATATTGCATACTATCTATACTTAAATTAAATATATATTCATATATTTTATAATCCACTTAAAATGATATTAATCTATTTTTAATACATTAATTTTGTAATTTCTTGAATTACCAAAGAAAAAAAGAGGTAGAATTCACAGGATGTGGTGAGCAATTACGTGTGTAAAACAAAGGAAAGAACCAAGGATTCCCGGGTTTTTGGCTTGAGTAACTGAGAGGTAGTAGCCACATTTCAATATTGTCAAAGTAGGAAAGTAGTTGGGGTAGGATTAATGAGTTCAGTTTTCCAGTGTTGCTTATGGATGCTTATGAGATGTTCAGATGAGAGATCCAGAGGTGATTAAAAATACTGAACAGCACTGGCCAGTGTGGCTCAGTGTTTGGAGCATGAGCCCCGAGTACCAAAGGGTCTTGGGTTCGATTACTTGTTGGCACATGCAGGAGGCAACTGATCGATGTCTCTCTCTTGCATCTCTCTCTCTCTCTCTCTCTCTCTCTCTCTCTGTCCCCCTTCCTCCCTTTCACTCTCTCTAAAAAAATAAATGGAAAAAATATTCTTGGGTGAGAATTAACAAAACAAAAGAAAAATAAATACTGAATGGAAAAAATAAATAAATAAAATAAAAATACTGAATAGAAGAGGATCATGTCTAAGTTAGCTAAATTCTTTGTTTAATCAGTAAAAAAAGGTATTTAAGAGACTGATTTAATGACTCTTTTAAAAGAATCAACACCTTTAAGATTCTTCCTACCAACACACAAAGATTAGACACAACAGGAATAGGATGTTGGGAAAAGAAATTTTGAACTTACTTTCCATTCTTCAAGGACTTCTAAAAGGAACTTAAAATCAATACCTGGTTTATTGATGCCTACACCTGCAAATTTTATCTGCTAATCTATGAAAAACATTAGCAGTGGTAAGCCTATAGTTA